ACAAGATCTTTCTCTAGGGAGGCTTCCTGAATGCGTCACTTCCGACTTTGGACCCTTTCTCCTAGCTTATATCAGTTGTGTGAGGCGCGTGTTTACAAACTCCCAGGTCAGTTTACAAAATTCTAAACTTTATCAAGTAATCCATCCTCTTATAATTTTATTCTGTGGTATGCTTAGAATCATTCACCCGATACCGTTTTTAAAAGAGTAATACAACCACCAGACATCTGCTAATGTCTACTTGAAGAGGCCTCACCGAGCCAATTAGCTTGGGTGGCTATTAGCTTTCTTACACGCAAGACTGATAAGTAGCACTCCGTCTGATAAGTAGCACTCCATTTAACATAGCTCGAAACATCGTAGGCTTAATAATATTGCCCATTGACAACCAATAGTGTAAGGTTAATATAAATAGCTAAATGCATGTGAGATGATCGTGGTGGACTTGGTCAAAACTTTAGTCTTCGTCTATTTTTAAAGCGTGCGGCATCTGAACCCCAACAAAGTGGGATTTGGGAGATTTTCATGGTTGACAATTCACTGTAATTGCAAAGCTTATTTACCTAAAAAGTCTGTATTTGAACGAGTTGTAATGATAGTAGTTTAGGTTTTAGAGTTGTCTCAAAAGGTAACCTGTAGTTCTGAGTGATTTTCATCAAAACCGTGTAAAACATGTGATGCAAATAACCAACTTGTGTGAAGATTCATTGTACTTCCTTAAGTCTTTGCTGATTTCAACATCTTTTTTTCTGATCATAGATGAAGGAGGCCATAATGAACCAGGAGAAGCTTGCCAAACTGCAGGCGCAGGTCCGCATAGGTGGCAAGGTAAGATGGTGCATGCCAGACCAGTTTTAATTCCTGTAGAGCACTTCTGCCAACTGACATACTTGTTGCTTTTTATAGGGTACGGCTCGCAGAAAGAAGAAGGTGTTGCACCGAACTGCGACAACAGATGACAAGAAGCTTCAGTTCTCCCTCAAGAAGCTGGGAGTCAACAATATCTCCGGTATTGAGGAGGTATGAATGACAGGATCAGGCTTGGAAACGTTTGCCTCATGAAATACAATACAATGGCTGTATAAAAAAATGTGGGAGTAGAGCCACACCAATGTTTTTTTTTTTTCTTTTTTGGCCCATGCCGATTTTTGGTAGATAAAAATACAGATTACTGATTAATCCGCTGAAGAATCAATAAAATTATAATGCATAAAATATATTTTTCCCATATGCATTTCAGTGGGTGTCTATTATACGCAGATTTTCACTATTTCCTGGCCGGCATGGTCCCTATTCCTTGTGAATAGTCAGGGTCAGTGCAATATGAGCGAAGAAGTAAAATTTTCGCTTTAAACGCTTCATCTGTGCCCCACTGAACGCATGTACGCCTGACCACGTGAACTGCATTGACTGTTTATGGAAACGCACCATCGTACACGCTCAACTTGTGTTGGGTCTGACAGCAGCATAATGAGGAAAAGTGCTGTAGATAAATGGATTACTGGACTATGCTATCAGGAGGCAAAAATGCATGATGAAGGCAAGGTCCCCTTCCTTTCGGACCACTTAAAAAATGTTCTACTGTCTCCGAAGGTGAATATGTTCACAAACCAGGGTACAGTTATCCACTTCAACAACCCAAAGGTGCAGGCATCCCTAGCGGCCAATACCTTCACCATCACGGGCCACGCCGAAAACAAACAGCTCACGGAGATGCTCCCGGGAATTCTAAACCAGCTGGGAGCGGATAGTCTCACCAGTCTAAGGCGATTAGCGGAGACGCTGCCCAAGCCAAGTATGACAGACATTTTCAACTCTTTGGTTTTGCTTTTTTGAGTCCACACTCAGCAATGTCTGTGTTTTTCATAGCCGGGGAGAGCGAAGCACCCACGTTCGCTGCCGAAGAAGAGGATGATGAAGTTCCTGGTGAGCAATGGCACATCCACAACTCACAAAAAGTTTGGAATAGTTGGTGTCTGTTTACAATTTCAGGATGAAATCATTATGAACGAAGAGATTTACATGTGAACTTATCTGACCTTTTCAAAACTTTTGAATGCATATGTCCAACTTTTCAGTGTTTCAGCGCTGCCCAACTTGCTGTTCTCTAACAAGCAGCTGAATAACAACTTTCACGACAGGTTTTTGGTTTATGATGTACTGACTGGCAACATGTAGCACCGCTTTCCACACTCTCACTCACCCCGTTGCGAGAAATGCATTTGTTTAGTCCATGGTAAGCTGTGACTTTGTCGAGCAATATAACACGACACTTTAGCGTGTCCTTGCGGAAACACTATTAAGGCACGTCAAGGAGAGCATTTAAACTTCTTTTTTTTTTAATTTTTTTTTTTTTTAAATACGCAAGCTTCGGGGTGCGGTTATGTTCCTTATTTAAAATTAACAGTGTTCTGCTTCTTAAACTTGAATCATATTTTGAGTATTATAAGAATCTGTGTTCATGATTACTATTTATCCAGTGTGTATCAATGTTCTCATTTCATCCCTCCCTTAAGAGCACATAAACACAAATAAACGTTAAACAGATGGACATTCAAACATTTTGAGAAGGCCAAATTAAGTGCACCTTCATCTGTAGTGTTTAATAGCCCTCACGTTGTGTGAGTAGTGGACAACCATCCAAGACCCTCCTAACCACTCTTTCATATTTCAGATCTTGTGGAGAACTTCGACGAGGCTTCAAAGAATGAGGCCAACTAACATATCGACAAGCACAAACTCTGAACTCACCGCGGCAAGTTGATTTGAGATCAAATGAGTAAAAGTGATCCTCCCTGTCTTCTACTACACAGCTCTCTGTCATTCTGCAGTAAAGTATTTAATTCAGCAGTTCTTTGTCTTTCTTAATGCTGCCACTCCTTTGCGATGCCAACATACTTAACATGTTCTAGTGGAACTAATCACATAATAAAGATGACATTTAAACAAAAAGATTTCATCATTTTATACATGCAGCAGTATGTTAAAATCAAACTTAGCGGGGGACGTTTAAGACGGTGGTGGCTTGTGACAGTGACGAATAAGAAAATCCATTTTTTGACACTCGTCATTTAATCAGATACAAAGTGGAAGTTGAGTTTCGCAGAAGGAAAAAAAATGTCTTGACCTTCACTATCTGAAGCTGAAGATCACAAAACCACAGAAAGGAAAATATGAACAAACCGAAACTTGCATATTTACTAAGTAAAGGACACTACTATCACACACTGTCATATCTATTCCTGAATATGTAGCAACAACAACCTAGTCATTTACCTCCCATGGATTTGCGAGAATAAGCTTCAGTTTACAGTGACCTGCAGTACAGAAAATGACTGGATACAATATTTTAAACATTACCCCCACCATGGCATAAAAAATACTAACTCCAGAGATTTATGTTCATGTCAATCAGGTTCGGGGTCTAACAGAATACATGTTGCATAATCAGGATACAAAAACCTTATCTTTTCTGTTAGCTGTTGAAAAAAATTTTGGGGCCAAGAAACCTTTTCCAGCCTTAGCAGAGCAACAGCCAACAAGTCACATTGTCACATTATATAGCTCAATGGGCCACCGTGGACTCTATCTGCAATCTTGTCAGCAAACTGGCTGATCATTAGTGCCATTTGGACTACGACAGCCCACTGGATGTGTTAGGCTTCCCAAAAGCGACTCTGTTTCAAAGCGACATAGGGGGAATTAAATAAATATTCATTGTAAATAATCAAGGGTTTCCGGGATCTTTAAAAAAAGTCTGAAAAGGCACTGAATCCATTAAGGGTTTTAATTAAAACAATAAATAGGATTTTGATTGTAGATCGTGTGAAATCTCAAAATAAATGACAATTCTTTTTTTAAAAAAAGTTCACCGAATGACAAGTGGTCATAATCACACAATCACCATAATGGCACCAACAAAACAGTGATGAGGACACTTAAGAGCAGATGGCAAGTCATTTATGAAGGCTACTGGAGCAACTTTGGACAGGATGGGGCATTGGAAAATACTGCAAAGGTGGCCTTCATTTTAAAATTAAATTAAAAAGTCAATCCGAATTTGCTTTAAGAAATAGGAACCTTAAATAATATTTAGGGTTCCTATTTCTTACTTATGCATGCAAACAGCGGGCTATCTTGCACGCTAGCACCTTCTGAAGTGTTTTAACTCGCATCACATATCACCCAATGCTTTATTATTAAAACAACATATTAAAAAGATGTGCTTGTCACTGAGAATAAAAAAAGGTTGTCATCCCAGGCAATCATCATCACCATATCAAAATAAGTTAGCTAATAGCATATACAGTGAACTGGTGAACTCGCTAGCTATCGGTAGCATGGCAAACAAGTGATTAGCATTTAGCACATCTGTCTCCCACTTCTGAGGTTTTGGATTTGAAATTCCAGTAAACCATGCCTATTAAACAGTCATACAGAAAACCAAACAAATATTTATTGCCCCAATATTTTATTTATTTTGTCTTTAATATCATATTTGATGTTGGAGTAATCTAGACATTACTTTAATATTGTGGTACTTGGATTACACTAGCCGCATTTTTTTTAGCAAGGAAGCGGTAACTGTATAGGAATAGATATTTTAAGTAACCCTCCCAACCCTGATATTAACGTAGTCAGTGAATGAAAATAAAAACGATGATACATAGAAGCAGCCCTGTGGGAAATGTAAGTTGCTATTTACAACACGAAACCACTTTTTGTACACGCACGTCAGGAAGCTGTTATGTGTATGAGGAAGTCTTACGTTGTCATTTGCCAACAGTTTGTTCTTCCCCATTGAATGAGTAATAAGCATGGAAATTCCTGTTTGGGACATCCCGCCGCCATCTTTTCCCATAGAGTTACATGAATGACATTGCATTACACGGAAACCTTTTTATGTGAAATTTGGCTAAAATTCTTTTTTTCCCCACAAATATTTACTAATTTGTCAGTCCACGTGGCTGTGTTATTTTTTTATATTATATTATATTATATTATATTATATTATATTATATCACTGCCATTTTACATTAGTATTCAATAGTTTTTATTTTAAACAGTTGTCATAATGCTGAATTGCATTCCACTCTTCTCACATTACAGATTCCAACTATTCAAACAGTCTTTTTTTTAATCAAAAGCTGTATATCAATCAAGGGTAACCCCCATTCCTTACTCACACGAGCCCTTTACTATCGTGTTTTTTTTTTTTATCTGATTCGAAATCACCCCGCTTCTTTTTCCTTCGTCATACTTAATTGTAGAAGTGCACTCTCAACCGACTGCTTCTTTGGTTTACTATGTCCTTCAGTTTCTATCTTCACTCCCACACAAGGCTGCAAAAATGGTGCTGATGCTTGCTTTTGTGCATTAGTATAAAAAAGAGTCTTTGAGAACACTTGGTGCATATGGTCTTCAGCAACCACTGAACTTTTGCTCTTCATCAATTTTCAGTATTGTTTCACCAGAATGGTAAGTGAGGCACATTAGATGCTTGTTAATAATGACTCTTTAGGATTGTTGGAGTCAATGATAATCTGAGAAGTAAATGGCCTTCCCAGTTTGTTATGTTCTCTTCAATGGTTTAATATTTTTCCTCTGATCCCTCAAGAGATCAATTTGCATATTCGGGCTCCTGCTCATCAGCCTGGGGGGAGCAATGGGAGCAAATGGACTCAAATACTTCCCAAAAAGATGTATGTTCTCACATTTTATACATGATGATCATTTCTTTGTCGCTGTAGTGTTTTTGATTGTCTTTTGTCCATGCAGTCACGGTGGGTACACCGCACGACTTAGTCACATTGTCGTGCGATGTCGCATCCGAAGGTGATGAAGTCACATGGAAGTTTAGCGGTGAGGAAATCGATGAAGATAACCCGTTCGAGATGAAGAAGATTGGTCCCAATCTACTGCTCAAGGATGTAGGCACGCCCATGCTCGGAGAGTACACTTGCTGGAGCAGAGGGAAGAGCATGTCCACTTATCTCCTGCTGCAGGCTGAGGAGGAGGAGGAATTCGGTGAGAAGACTCTTGCTTAATGCAGGCAAAAAATTCACTGATATTCTGTAATTGGTTTTATGTATTAATTTTTAAAATTGTGTATCTTACAGATTATTTCCTCACCTGCCGTGCCAATTCTTACAACTGCACTTTTAGCTGCACATGGAACGACACTAAATACAAACTTGTACGCCTTGGACTGGGGCCACATTGGTAAACAAACATCATTTTGACTCTTTCTCAGCTCAACTCAACTCAACTGTATTTATAGAGCACTTTCAAACAGCCATCACTGCATACAAAGTGCTGTACATGGAGCAATTTAACATATACAACAAACAGTAAAGCAAATCGGTAATAAAGACGGTAGAAAGCACCGAACAGCAAAACCAAGAACAAATCTAAGTCATGCTGAGTCAAATGCCAAAGAATACAAGTGAGTTTTGAGGCGGGTTTTGAAGATGGGCAGCGAGGAGGCTTACCGAATGTTCAGTGGGGGGGGTCATTCCAGAGAGAGGGACCAGCAACAGAAAAGGCTCGATCCCCTCTGAGCCTCAGTTTAGTTCTTGGTACTTCTAATAATGTCTGGTCCGCAGACCTGAGGCGCCGGGCAGGTGTGTAGGGGCGGATGAGCTCAGAGAGGTAAGATGGCGCAAGGTCATTTAGAGATTTGAAAACAAATAAGAGGATCTTGAAAATAACTCTAAAATGTATAGGGAGCCAGTGAAGGGATGCCAGAGTAGGAGTTATGTGCTCCCTCTTACGAGTACCGGTCAAGAGGTTTTTGAAATGAAAGGCAGTTTGGAACTGCTTTGCTAAAGCAGGGTAAACACATATTGATTCTTAAAGGGATACGAAACTCATTTAGCCATTTTCAGCAGCAAAACGTCAATATTTTGTCTATAATAAACAGCAAATAGTACAATAGGGGAGCCATAGCTGCCATCGACTGGAAGCCCGAGCCCGAGTTTTTACTTTACTACTAATTTACCATACTAATTAAAGTTAAACAAGTGACAACAGGTTGAAAGAAAATGCAGGATCTAGATAAAGTTTTGTCGCTGTCGACATCATTAAATCCAAAGTGTACAAACTTCTGTCAAAAGTGTCTTTTTTTCCAGAAAATGGGGTCCACACACAGTGAAAGCGTCATCTTCATAACGTGTCTGGTCTTAGCAATAGATCAGTTTCACACAATGTGTTCTGCCTTTTTCTTCTGACATTTTCTCCACAGCCGCGAAGGAGGCGACTTGTGCAGCTGGGTCAGCAGCACCAGTGACAAACAAGATGGCAAACTCCACTTTGAGCTGCACCACTCGCTTTCACCTTACTCCGAAGAGAGCACCATGCTAGAACTCACAGCCGAAGCCATCGGAAATGACACTTTCCTCAGGAGGATCAAAAAATTTTATCTTCACGATATCAGTGAGTCATTGCAACTGATGAAAGGGCACAACTAAGATAAAATAAGATAAGAAAACCTTCATTCGTCTCACAATGGAGAAATTCCCAATCCACAGCTACAAAAAACATGAAAGGGAGAAGTAGAAGAACAAAAAGTATACATTTCAGTTTTATTTTTATTTGTACAAATTCTGTTTTATCATCAGGGATGCGTTTTACATATCAGACGCAGAGTGTCTGTGAATCGTATTGTCCTAGCAACATTATCATTATTAGGATTCATAGTGTAAAATATTTCAGCGTTTGCATCTTATTCCAAGAAATCATAAACTGCTTTTTGATGTGCACAAGTGACAATGATGTGAAAATTGGACAAGCAGTTTTGAGAAATTCAATTCTGATCTGAGAAATGTACCAAAGCAACTGAGAAGAACTGTAGGATCAGTAGCTAGTTTGCTCGCTAGCTAGCGAGATAGATAAACATGAAGATTCAGTACCAATGTGTGTGCATGAAAAAAATGCTTGTCACTTGTATTGTGCCCAGTTCAACCAGACAGTCCTCAAATTGTCAAATGTCAAGAATTGGAACACTACTTAAGCGTGACCGTTCGACCTCCATGCAGCTGGTCCAGCCCTGACAGCTTCTTCCCCCTAGAACACCAAGTGGAATATAGGCTCAGAGATGATGGACAGGTGCACTGCGAGCAACGACTACTCAAACAATTTTTATTTTTTTTCCAGGAACTTTTCTCTAATCTTTGTCTTTGCGTTCTCCTCCTTGATATCAGGTCAAATGCTCCAAACCCTCCCAGCTACCCAAAAAGATCAGCAGCCTGAGGGCCCGCTCCCGGGACCTGCTGGTCCAGTCGCGCTGGAGCAAGTGGTCTGAATGGGCAAATGTAAAGTGCTGTCTGCTGTCTTCTTCCATCTGTCACGTGTCAGAAACGCAGTGAAATGTATACTGCTGTGAAACATCATGATTTAACACTGACACTGTCGCTAAAACAATGTATTTATTTATTTATTTATTTAAAACCAGCCACCAATTACTGAGCAGCTAGTGCTGCTATTATTTGAAGCTAGTGCATCAGCCCCTCAAATAAATGTTTTTCTCTCTTTTACTCTTTCTTTTGTCTGTATTCATTTTGGTCAATATACACAGTCACTTACTAATTTTCTGCATTTTTTTCTTTTCTTTTTTTTGAGTTGTGAGCCAAAATTTCAGTTTCAGATACAATGTTGTGAAAAATGGGGTGATTACGATTAGGACAAGAAGAGCCACAGTCACATATACTTTCAGTCATTTACAAAACAGGACAAATTGTCAAGGCGACAAATCCAAAATGAGAGCATTCACTCGGAGCTGCTGTCAGCCACAACTCGTACCAAGACACTCATGCGCAGCTCCTGATGTCATATTTATTTCTTCAAGCTGTCGGTTTTTGTGTTTTATTTTATCAACTCATTGCAGGTCCAACAAGGAAAAATGAAGCTTCGTAAACCCAAGAAGACAGTCATATATTGCTATCCACAGAGGCATTCGATATGTAGACGTCTGCCAGTGAAGAAGAACAGAACCCAGCAGCGTTGGAAAAAAAATGGAACATTGTAAAAACATCTCTTCCTTTGAAATAATTTGAAAATATAGTGTTAACTATGCATCACTAGATACGTCACTGAACCATCAATAAAGTTCTTGAGGCATATGTTCTGTATTGCCAAGTTCTTGGGTAGCTTGGAAAGACAGAGACGATCTTGTGGAAAAACACTCCAAATTGTCGGTAGGTGTGATTGTTCAGTGCAGGGTGGTTGATTATGTCCGATGCGATTGGCTGGCAACCAGTTCAGGGTGTACGTCGCCTTCTGCCCAAAGTCAGCTGGGATGGGGTTCAGCACGCCCACGACTCTTGTGAGAATAAGTGGATTAAAAAAACGAATGGATGGATTATTAAAACAATAGATACTATTTACATTATGAAGTCAAACTGTCACCACAAAGTTACATCTCATAAGAGTTATTAGTATGTGTACTCAATGATCCATAAAATGAAACATCTATGAAAACAAATCCATCACCACTGACCAGGAGCTGCCCTTTTTGTTTGGATTTATACACAAGTCTTCCTTTCTACAAAGTTATTTTGCTAGTCGTCTTTTTTTTTTTTATTTGTCTTAGCCTTAAAACACGCACATGAAACTGAAAAATGAAAAGCACGACCGACTCAGACGTGATGATAATGCAATTAGAACTTCACTCTGAATTTCATTCTGTAGTTTTATGTAAAGGCGATCGGCCAAGGGGGTAGTGTCTGTGAATAGGTAAAACCGTCGCGAGCATTCTGGAGTCCTCTCAATTTTATTCAGTTAATTTCAGTGAACAATAGAATGAGTGAAACAATGAGAAAATGGCACGTAAAAAGAGCCCCGTTCATTCAGAAAATAACGACAATACTTATTAAAAACTATCTAAATAAATAAAACAGTAACATCCTCATGCGTCGTAAAAGAGCTCGCGTTCCTTCTTTCATCACACCTTGGAAGTTAAATCGATTCTGAAACAGAAAGAAAGACATTGCAGTGAAGGCGAAATGAAACTGTCGGCACAGTAAATGTTTGGGTGTTACCTGGCCCTCCGTCTGGGGCACACCCGCTTCCACGCGAGCCTCCACACGGCTCCTCTCAGGGCGGGGCTCCCCCAAATGTACAGAGCCGGGGTGACTAGCGCGTTGAGGCGCGCCATGATGGCGAACAGGTTGGTGGCCTCGTTGCGGAAGCGCAGCCCGGTCCGGGTGAGCTGCCTGACGATGATGTTGACGAACGAGGGGCACCACAGGGCCAGGAAGCAGATAACGACGAAAACGATGATGCGCAGCGACTCTCTCTTGTTGTCCCGCTCGGCGCTGGGGGGCTCTCGGGCCAGGTGGTTGCGGGCGATCACATACAGCTTGACGGTCATCAGAACCTTGACCAGTGGTGGCAAATATAAATAAATGTTACTCTTTTTAACGAGTTTATTTTTTAACTTAAAACGTTGTTTTGTTAACATAAAATTGGAGCCGAGCCATAACATTAGGTACACCAGTTTCCAATAGGGTCAAACATCGCAATAAAGTGCCTTGGTGTCGTCTTCAAAACCGATCAGTCATCGTGAAAATGTAGCACAATAATGAAAGGTAGTACCTGTAGTAGAAGTCACCAAACATTTGCATACGTGCCAGTACAATGATAATTCTCTTAGGATGTGTTTCCTTTATTTTATACATTTTTATTGGATGTTTGTTATGAAAATGAATTAAAATGACAAAGACCAAAATTGAAAAAAAAATTTTTTTTCGAAATACGGAATAAAATAAAGGTGAGAGTGCGTTTATTTTTATTTTATATTTTTCTGTTTATGAAAGAAATTTAAAACAATATATTTTTAATGTCCTTTATTTTCACCTCAGACAATTAATTTCATTAATGAGTTTAGGTATTATTGTACAGTCACGAGGAACAAGGAAGCTTGAACAGTTATTTGAGAGTTGTAGTTTAGGAGCTTAATTACACACTAGTTATTGTGACCTGTGTCTTTTTTAATACTGCATTTGACAAATGCTCTTTATTGAAAAAAAGCTAAAATTAATACTAGAACTAATAAAAAAAAAAAAAAAAGACAAAGCACCCACCCCACCAAAGAAAAACTAATAAAAACCAACAAACCAGTCCTAAAAGCCAAATAAAACGAATTGAATTTAATAATTAAAAGTCAAAATGAAATGAAAACTAACTATAATGTAAAAGTCAAAAATATTACAACCTAGGTCTATACCTTTTACTGAAGCGGGCTACAGTAGTCGAATCATTACTTTTAGCAGTCTGTTTTTTACATGCACAAGTGTCTGTACTTCTACTTTTGCCAAATCTGACCTTGACCAACACGATGATCTGCAGGGTCATGACCCCAAACGCATTGATCTGGGCCGCCTTGGAGATGGGCACCATGTTCTGCACGGTGAGGATGGAGTAGGTGTAGATCCAGCAGAAGGCGCACGCGCCGATCACCAGCGAGCGGCTGATATAGCGGTGGTAGAAGAACGGGTGGCACACGGCCAGGTAGCGGTCAAACTGGGCGAACAGGAAGGTCAGCACGTTGACACCGAGGAAGGAAGGCAGGATATAGAAAGTCCCGTTTCTGGATGGATAACCCTCCTGGACGTCGAACAAGCCCAAATAGTAGACGGAGAAACCGGTCAGCGTGTCGCTCACGCTGGTGTTGAGCATGAAGATGAAGCGATTCTGGACGCGCAGCGAGCGGTTGGACGCGATGCCCACGACCACCGAGCCGGCCACCAGGACTGCACTGGTGGCAAACAGGATGTGGAAGATGAACACGAAGAAGTCACCCGGAGAGTCAAAATCAACCGATAGGGGGACGGTGCCGTTCAGGAGCATTATCACGCGCCCATCGTTGAGTATGGATGACGAGCCTCTCCAGCCCCTTTTAAAGGCACTATCCAGACCTCCGGGGGGCATGTGGAACAAACACGGCATTTTTTTGTTGGTGTGTTTTTTGTGTGAAGTGAAGTGCAATTAATCACACGTGATAAGGCCTTGCCACTGAGTCTCAATGGAATCTACAATTGTGTCTCCAGTGTAACTGGTGCTTGTCGACTCCTCTTAACTTTGTTTACAATGCAAAACAGGGGTGTCAATCTTATTTTGGTCATTTCCCTAAAGAGAAGTGGTTCTCAAACTTTTTACACCAAGCACAATTTATAACAGCATACTTCTCAATAACACCATCATCATGACCACCATTGAAATACAGTGGCATAGTATGCTTATGTAGGTATTCATCAACAAGTAGGTTGAGGCTTTATTCCTAAAATGTACATTCCGAATCAGACTCACAGCCCCCTCCAAACGTAGTGGAATGACAAGGTCAATTCCGAATGATGAACTTGTGTGTTTTGTATCATTAGCATATCCTTTCATTTGCCATACTTTGGCCTTTCCGTCACTTTGGTAGAGGTTAATCTTGGTCTCACCAATCCATTAAACTTTGTTCATCCCTTTACTTCGATGCAAATTCCAATCAAAACTGCATTTTGTTTCTCGAAATCTTCTAACACTGCATTGTGATATCACTTGTGGCCTATGGAGTTTGGAGTAATGGACTGACTGCTTTCTTTGGATGTTTCTTCACAGCTCTCACAATGTTTCTGTCATCAACTGCTGTTAATAGCCTTGGCCAATCTGTTTTTTGTCTGTTGCTCAGCACACCAGGAACTTTTTTTCTTTCTCATGACTTACTAAATTGTTGTATTAGCAATGCAGGAATTGTTGTATTAGCAATTCTCAATATTTCTGCAATAGCTCTGATCGATTTTCCCTCTTCTCTCAACATAAAAATGATTTGCTCTTCTGCCGAAGACGGCTCTCAGGACTTCATGTTTGCTTAAAGGTAGTCTGTAGAATTTAGTGACATCTAGTGGTGATCCAATACAATGCAACGACCTAAACATGCATGCGCACTTGTCAGAAACACAATATTTCACAAGCCTTTGCGGGATGTCGTTTCCTAAACCAGAGGTTGGTGGTTTGATCCCCGCCCGGCCATTGCGACCATGTCGAAGTATCCTTGAGCAAGATACCGAACCCCTCCCTAGTTGCTCCTGTAGGTGAATGAGGGAACAATGTGAAGCGCTTTGAGTACCTGAAGTAGAAACCACACCATTTAGCTGCAACTTCAGTTTTCACAGGTGGAAAGCAAAGCCAAAACAAGGACTATCTAATGTTTAAGCAGTCAATTTAAAAGAAAACACCAAAGCAACTACAAACACCCATCAGTCATGTTCCAATACGTTTGCTGATTTGAAATATGGCTGGGTTCAAACAAAAGGTGGTCTGCCCTGGATATAAATCCAGATCTGGATAAAAATACCATGAAATAAACGCTGGAATTCTGAACTATTTTCTTATATTCATCTTTTGATCTGAAACCCAAATGTCTTCAGCATGCAAAACAAATGAAGTGACCTTGCCGTTGCAATACTTTGAAAGGGGATTGGGTTGGGTGGCTGGACGGCTCAGTGGGTAGCACTGCAAACTTTGGACACAGATGATTGGGGATCTAAATCCAGTCAGGGTGAACGGTAGCATCCCTTTTCGCCGTTTCCCAGCCACTGTTGTTAAGAGGTTGCGTCTGGAAGGTCATCTGTTGTAAAAACTGCCCAAGAGCAGAAAAAAACATCCCATGCAAACCACGAGATGGCAGCAGTGAATCTCGATGAAAGAATTAACAAGGGACGTTTGGTATCAACCAAGTACAGTCCTCTTGAGAGGCCGAAGGAGAAGCGTTGCAATAAAATAGACATTTACCAGATTTCTGTGCAGGCAGTGTAGGTTCAATCCCACTTCGCGACCATTTGAATCGGTGCCCTTTTCTGTGTCTGGTCCCATGACTGACTGAACGGTGACCGGTCCAGGATCGATGTTAGTTAGTTAGTTAGTTAATTGTTTATTGAACATACAATACAATAACAATTGACAAAAGGCAAGCAAAAGTTACAAAAGGAAAAATAAAAATAAGAAGTAAATAAATGTAGCCTTCCATCCCAAAAAATGGGATTCAAATTAAAATCCCCCCCGCCCACCTTCACAACACACATACACAGACAACCACATGACTCAATTTGTCCGAAAATCGAATTTATTTATTCATGACAAATATCTTTCCTCAGTCTATGCCAGCAATGTACAGTATAGTGGCAGGCAGAACACTTAAATGATCATCCATTACAAGGCAGAAGGTACACTAAATGTGTTGCGATGATGAATCCGAGAAAATCATGGCTTCCTGCGAGTGTATCAACTTTATGTTCAATAAAACAGGCCCAGATTTCGCACAGGGTAAGTCAATTTGCAAGTAAATTTGGACGAAATCATTCGTTCAATATTCATACTTTTTGTGACATTTTTGTGTGGTGGTGTGATGTGGGAAAGTTTGGGAACAATGCTAGTCGAGAAAGGGCGAGAAAAGTAAGTCAGGTACTGAATTTTATTTGGAGTCAGCGATTGCAGTTTCCTCGGCGGCCAGCCGGTGTCAGTAGAGTGTTTTGGCACAACGCCATCGATGAAGACGCCTGCATGGAGTCTCTTCATTGCATTTGAAATTATTAAATGTTAACACCTCACGTGCATGCTCCACACGCGTGACAATTGGAACCCGGTATCCTTATGAAACAGCAGTCACGCTACACCCGAAATTCGTTTGTAACGGACACGACTTGGGGCCTTCTGTGCAAAGAGGAGGAGCCAAATAAACAACCCCACTTCCGCACATCTGGTGCCCACTTTCTGACCCCCATTCCAACAATTCTGCTTGATTTAGCTCTCACTCGTCTGACCCAGGAGGTCACACAGTATCACCCAGAAAGTGAAAAGTATCAAATACTCGGAGAGATTGCCTCTGCTCCACGTTTCGTCTAATTTAATGTTTTAATGTTGATAATATGGTACAAATGACTGTGAAAAGAGAGCGTGTCTAATGTTAGGGGATCAAAACAATGATTAATAATTAGGTTGCAAGTAGCATGTCCGTGTTCGTGGAAAGCTATTTCAGCGTTGGCCAGTTAAACAAGGCAAAGAACAAAACGACGAAATACTGTATACTTAATTCTACCTCAGTTAATTAACTACTTGACATTTTTTTCGGTCACATGTGGGCCCGAGAGCGAACAACTCTGCCTTGTAAAACGACTTTTTGGAGTGGGCATCCGCCTCCCATCTTCGCAGGTACCACTGCCAGTGAGCGAGCGGGGAGGGGCGGGCTGGTGTTCGAACTCCGAACCCTCCCACCGTGGGCTGAGCTGTGTTTCTCTGTGCTGCTGCACTCCGGGCTGGTTCCTATTCAAATGTGGGTCAGGGGTGAGGAAGCGTAACGTCATAAGCTTGCAACATGGCGTCCCGAAGGCTGTGAGATGAGCAAGAGGATGGTAAAGAACGCTTGAGAACCACCCTACCGATGTAAGAAGGTAATTTGAAACGATTCTTTATCCGTCTACATGAGTCGACGCGCTTGTGAAACGGCTGCTTTTGTGTATGTGTGTGTGTGTGTGTATGAGGGGGGGTGGTGGTTTCTTGCCTTTGGTTGGTTTGCAGTGTTGCTTTGGCGTTTTTTCCACGGCGTGCCAACAAAAAAGGGGACTACGCTGGTGCCGATTCTGGTTTCTTGTTGCAGGCTTTCTTAATGCTGAAACCGCACCATTTATGGCTTCCCTTACAATAATTTCAAAAAATGAAAGAATGGCTTTGCAAATGCTGCGGTTTACGTTGGCACGGTGGGCTTGCAGCGATGCCTCCCTCCGGGCCAGTATGGACCAAATCATCACCAGGCTGGCAAAACGATGCATTTTATTTTCTTGCTTTCATAACAAAATACGCTTACATTATCTACATTTACGCTTACTATTTGCTCATCCGCTCCTGTCATTGTCCCTCTTGATGACGAAGTATATAGGTCCAGTTGTGTGGATTCTACGCAACTGACGCAATTACCATAATGGTCAGCGAGCTGGAGCAGTCGATACTAAATGTATGGCGCGACGTGCATTGTTTGTGTTTAGGGTAATCCACATTTTGTGCCGCGTAGGACCAATTAAAGCGATATAGCAGCAGCGACTGGCAGTTAGACTCGCGCAGCACTGTGTGGAAATCAGTAAATGCAAGATCTCATCGCCCATCTTTGTTTTGCTCTCCAAACAGCGGTGCTCGTAGATCTATATCTAATTCAAACTCCTAAAAGCTCGTTCGTTGAAACAATTCCTCCCAGGTGAGAAGGCAGCTTGGATTCTCAGGTGATTAGTGTTGCTAAAAGTACCAAGGGGCATGGAGATAATAAGGCATAGGAATGTCAGTCATGTTGGTTTCCTTGACTGGCTCTTGTTTTAGTGTAAGCAACTTGTTTTTAGCTGGTTTGTAATGTCTCTTTTTAAGTGCAGTTTCCAGTTTCGGCTGCCAAGCGTTTCGCCACATGCGAATGCATATACAGCACACCTGAGAGCCCAAGATAACTGACTTAAAACCGTCTGTATTCGCAAATGAACTATGTTGGTGTGGATTTTTTTTTTTGGTTAGGTAGGAGCAAGCCATCATTTTATTTCAAGCCTATTTGATCCAGTCGGTATTTTATTTCTATGCATTGTACACCAAAGGGGCCCCATTTAGCGTTGTTTTGTTTTATACATGAATGTAATCATTATCCTCATAGAATAATTTTTAATGTTTTGACAAAACAAATTCAACAAACAAGTGTCGAGTTAACTCCATTTCAGACTACCGTGACCTGGATAACTGAGAATCTACAAAGTCTTAAAGAAACAACTGTCATGAGTAAGGACATTGGCCATTTAATAAAAAACGAATACTTTATTGTGACTGTAAGGACTGAGACGACGACGCTATTATCACTGCATGTAGCTTTTAGCTAAGTTCTGCGACTCTATCTACATCTTCTGCAACGGTTATCAAATTACTTGAATACAAATAGCTCAAAGCGAAATCTTTGCAGGGATCATATTTCTAAATTGACTAATGTTACTGCAGTCAAAAAGTAAAGTTTGGAAAAGACAGAATGTCCCAAGTTTGTGATCATGTCACTCTTTAAAAAGAAGATAAAGTGCAATTTGTGTATTCCAAAGAAAAATTAACTAACGTTCCACAACAGCATGTCTACAATTGTCAACACAATGTATCAGTTAGCTAATTTAGTTTCGCCTACAAATCTTAATTATAATTTATTGTTATGCTCTGCCAGTGCATTTTCACTCACTTTATTGAACAAACTAACAAACACTTTCATACATGACTGCTACGGTCACAACCGATCCCTAGGCACTCACTCAACATGCAGACCAGCAAACGGTTATCCAGTTAACGGGCTTGACCTTTCAAAGCCACACATAGTCCCAAGTACCAGGTCCGGTCTGGAAAGTGAGGATGGAAACACCAATAATACCTGCACATCACATGCAGATGTTGTTTTATAAAACAAAATCCCATTTTATCTGATTAGTCAATTCATCGATGGGATGAGCAATCGAATAATTGATCCTAAAGGTATATCGCCGTCGCAGTGCTTGACAATTCATTGCTCGTTGAACCCCATTGTAATTTTAGTCCGCTCCACAGGCCAGGTTAAAACTGGGAGAGCAACTTGTTTTGAGTTGTTGTTGAAGGTATGACAAACCCAAAAAGTGGAATACGTTTTGCATGCAGTATATGAACTTAATTAGAGAAGGCTTGTCAAGCTGCTAGACTTCTCACTTAGCCTCCAGCATTTGCTTATGCTGCAACATTAAATGTGGGCACACATGTTTTGTTTATTCGGTCCCTTTATTTGCAAATTTGGCACCTCGTTAAAACTAATCAACATACCTGCAGGTTGGATTCACATCACCTGTATTGCATATAATCTTACTCTTCCTCCTTTTGAGATGCCTAAATTGACATGGCACGAAACCATAGTGAGGGTGATCATAAAAAAAAAAGGATTTGATTTGAAATAAAACCAAAAACTTACAGCTGTGCTTTTCATGACTTTTCTTTTTTTTTTTCTCCTTTTGGCAACCTGTCATTTTACAACCGTGGCCAAACATCTGTTCAGTGCAGCTGTCAAATTCTCAGCAGATGTACTTTCAGTGTCGATCTAGGCGATTGCGTCTGCCCAAGATGAGTCAACTGATCAGTGTGACAAGCTTAACTGATCACTATGGACTACAAAGAGGCGCCTGGAGGTTAATTTTAGGCCTGTGTGTGTGTGCGCGCCTCATGATCTGCTACCCTCCTCTTAACACACGTACACACACAGTGCCCTGTGTCCATTGTGATCATGGCTTACAGTGGCGTGTGTAGGCAGCACAATGCCTTAAGAAGGTTACTTAGGCTGTATGTTCTGCTGACATGCGTTCAAGGACTTAACGGCTGGGCCCTTGCGTTCATGCAAGACATGCGTTTCCTGCGCCGCCTGTTGGAGGACAGTTTGAGATTCGTTCAGTGTCCACAGCACCCTTGGGCAGGGTTGTTGTTGTTGCACTGTAAGAAGAATAAAAAGAATCAGTCTTTGGAATGTGTTTCTGATAGGCACATGGTGATAATAATGTGTTTCAAAGGTAGAGTTAGAGGTGGTAGCTATGTTTTGGGGCGGGGGGAACCCAACGCTGTTAGCTTTAGGTCATATGGGAGTGCTGCTTTTTTTGAAGGGAGTGGATCTGGCCAGTCTTATCTCACCAACAAAGTTCATTCTTCGAAGAACAGAGTCACGTTATCATACCAATCCTATGTTCACTGGCGAGTTGATTGCTTTACTTCCTCACACACATCATGTGCTGCTGCCAGGATTGATTTACTTCAGCAATTTTTTTTTTGGGGGGGGGGGCGTAACAACAAATGAGGTTAGATTGAATAATGCCAGATGTTCATTTTTTTTAATGAAAACTATAGATAAGGACATATTTTGTTACCTTGAATCCTTAGTGCTCGATTTTACACCTCAGATCGACTGGATTGGATCAACAGATATTTTTCATTTCCTACAAAATATGTCCATCCATCCATTTTCCGATCCGCTTATCCCCACAAGGGTCGCAGGGGGTGATGGAGTCTGTCCCAGCCGTCTTCGGGCAGTAGGCGGGGCACACCCTGAACCGGTTGCCAGCCAATCGCACGGCACACAGAGACGAACAACCATCCACGCTCACACTCACACCTAGGGACAATTTAGAGTGTTCAATCAGCCTGCCATGCATGTTTTTGGAATGTGGGAGGAAACCGGAGTACCCAGAGAAAACCCACGCAGGCCCGGGGAGAACATGCAAACTCCACACAGGAGGCCTGAGCTGGAATTGAACCCGGTACCTCTGCACTGTGAGGTCGGTGCGCTAACCACTGGCCCACCGGGCCGCCCTACAAAATTTGTGACTGTCATAATTTGCTGATTGATCAATATTGTCATTAATCAGCTCTGCAAAAGAAGCCATTACAGCAAACTCAATCACTTTCGCTCCAAGGAAGTTCTGTGTTGTTGTCGTTAATGGATTGTTTCTAAACATTTACATTCAGATTTATTTTTTTCGAAAAATGTTTCCCAACATCCCCAAATTAATTTTTTTGTGAGGGTGTCGGGTTACTAGGGGAAATTCCTCACGTCCCTCCACTGTGCAGGAAATAAGATTGTTGTTAACATGAGGACCACAGTTGGCGTTTATTTATTGTTTTTAATATTTGCTCAAATAGTCTGGGAAATCACTGAATGCGGTGACAATGTCTTTAAGTTGACAGCACTGCAGACAAGTCGCTGTTTTGTTTGCTTGCTTGCACTGTTGACATGCATGCACATCAAAATAAAAGTAATGCATACTAGATGTTTTATTCTGACTTGGTAAGGCCGCAGGAACTATGCCCCGCGGGCCCTACTTTGCCTAGATGTGTTTTAAGCCTTTAAATCCCTATTGGTGAGGCAGCCAATCAGAGTTGTGGCTGTAAGGTGGTCAGTGCCTGTCCTGGTGACAACACCCGAACCCGCTGGTGGACACCAGCAGTAAGGGATGCCTTGTCAAGCTGAAGGAGGAGTCCTTGAAGGCCTTTATGGCTTGTGGGACTCCAGAGGCAGATGATGAGTACAGTACAGGCTTGCCAAGCGCAACGCAGCGTCAGCGGACACCGAGGCAAAAACTCAGGCGTGGGAAGAGTTCAGTGAGGTCATAGAAGCAGACCTCCTGACGGCTTCAAGGAAATTCTGGTCCATCATCCCATGTCTTGGGAGGGGGAAGCAGTGCACCATTAACACTGTGTATAGTGAGGATGGGGCGCCGCTGACCTCGACTTGGGACATTGTGAGTCCGTGGGCAAAATACTTCGAAGTTCTCCTCAACTCTCCCGACATGCCTTCCTTAGAGGAAGCTGAGTCTGGCTGGGGTCTCTAAGGTGGGCTCAGATTCCGGATACAAGCGGCCAAAATTTGTTTCCTT